GGAGACCCACTATGACTGTGAGAAGTGATCGTCACGTGATTATTCCCCTTGTGTATATGTATGTGCGAGTGTATGCGTACCTACGTGAGGAATTAACGCAGCCTGAAGTGCCCGCGCAGTAAGGGCCTTGAGCCTAACACAAGAGGGGTTTTTCTTTGCTAAACGATAAAAGTGTATGTCTCCTTTCCTTGTTGCGATTTATCTCGGTGGAATGATAAAGTTCCGGGCGAAAAGGTTAGTGTGCGGCTGGTGATGCGCCAGACAACTCACCACCGCTCCAAAACTCTTTCCTACCCTAGGGACCGTCTCGCACCGCACCCGTTGGGACACCTCAGGGTGCAGAAGGTGGGAAGGCCCTCAGGTTGATTTTGCGCCAGCTAAAGGGTTATCCCCTTTAGCTCGCGCTTCAGCCAACGCCTGAGCGTCGAAGATGATCCCTTGGCTCAGAATAGGCCATTTGGGTGGGGCGCTACAGAATGCGCCGTCATTGCAGTTACTCGCGTAGAGCTGCATAACGAGATAGTATGTGTAAGTCCAGCGCCCTCTCGATCTTATACTAAGTTCGCGCACGCGGCACACGCTGCATCCCGCACTAAAAGAGTTATGGGTCAGGCGGCAAGGCCACGAGCGCGACACGACCAATAAAGGTGGGATTTTTTTTGTAACGTGAAGCGGCACGTGGGCGGAGGACTAGTCCCGGTCGGTCTATGGGAGTCCGTGTATGGGCCTTATTATCCTGGACACCGGGTAGCCTATAGGTAGGATATCGGGCCTCCTCCACGCGCGCGTCGCTTGGGCTTGTCCGCCCCCTTCTATTTTAGAGGGCCATCAACTAATGAGAGTTGGAGTGAGTTTCCTTTTTTTTTGTGTTTTCATGGTTGGACGTTATAGTCCGTGGCGGCCGTCAAAGTCAAACCCCTTGATGTTCGACCGCCACGACAGATTAAAGTTGTCTACTCAACCCCTCTGCACAGGGTGCAGAAGAGGGTGTGGTGTTCAACCGCGCATGGCAGTTGTTCAGCGTCGAGAGATTAACCCTCAATGCGCGTGTCAGCCGACACTTGAGTGTCGATTGTGACCCTCGAGATTAACGAGGACCGCGCGAGCATGGGTACTACATAGTACGCCATGATTGCGACTACTTGCGTGCGTTTGCATTGCGAGTTAATATGGCTTAGCTCTGCGCCCGCGCGGTTTTTTTTATCAAGTCCCGCGCGCGACGCCTGTTTGATTTCCGCATCGAAAAGTTATGGGACAGCTACTGAGGGGCTAGGGGCGTTGTCGCGTTGTTTGTGCCGTGTTGTTTTGTATATGTATATGTGTGCATGCGTTCCCTTTGTGTCTGTAGAGTAATGTATGCGTGGTAAGTGGGATACGTCCTAGCCGACCGGCGACGAACCGCCCTTGAGACTTCAGCCCCCCTAGATGTCGGTTCACGTGCGGGTCTGATAGGCGTGTTACCGCGCGTACCCCCTATGCTACAGCGAACGAGAAACGCCCTCGGCTGGTCCACCTCTGCGATTGCAACCGAGTAGCTTTCGTACTGTGGACTGGTAGCTCGGCGGGGATACGCCCACCGAAGGGAGGTGACAGCTCCCGTAAGGTGGAGGTAAGTTGTGCCTCGCGTAGGCCCTATCCTGTTGTAGGGGCTCGCGAGAGGTATGGTTGGCGCACTCGGCCGGAGCGGCCTAAGAAAGCTTCATTTGTGTGTTCGCAGCAAGGTTAGTCCAACTCCTGCGTGACGCGGGCGAGAGGGTCCCGCGCTGCCACGAGCGGTGCCGGACCGATTGTGGTCGACGGGTGGCGCCGTTGCCGGGGATAACGGAAGCCTACCGTTGTCCCTGGTGGAACGACATCCGGGTACAAGTGGGAAATAGGCATAAGAGAGTGATAAGTGTGCTTGAAGTGAAAGGTAAGTGATAAGGGACTAAGTATAAAAAGGGAAAGTCAGCAGCCGGTATATGTGTATTTGATTATTTGCCCGGTCCTAGCAAGAGCGTAAAGGGTGGCAACACTCACGACAAGGGTGAGGCTAGGTGAGAAATGCGGGCTAGACCAGGTTGGAGTAGGATGCTAAGTAGGTGAGTGCCTTTGGTTTTCTCTTAACAGGAATTTGGAAAAGGAGGCCTACCAAGATGCCGGAGGGTGGTAAAGCCGGAAAAGTCCTAACCCTCGAGGACCTCATCGCAGCCCTAGATCGACATGAGAAGACCCCAAGTAATGTTCCGAGGGTTGAGACCTTCCACTTTGATGGGGAAAGGGTCTCAGACTGGCTATACCTTGTGGAGCAGGCGATGGTGGGATTGTCAGATGAGGTGAAATTCCAACGTATCATGAGGTACGTGCTCCATAGGCACCATCAGGAGGTGCAAAAGGTTTTGGATGCCGCCCACGGCAGTTGGGCAAGATTCAGGGAGAACATGCTGCGCAAGTATCGGTTGGGTGATGGATTGCTTACCATCCAAGATCTTGAGGGAATGAACAAGGATGACTTTACCACGATAGGGGCCTTCGTACAAGAATTTAAGAAGAAGGCAAGGAAAGTTTACGGGATCTCTGAGGAGAGGCAGTGCGCTATCTTTCTGGGACTGCTTACTGGGTCAGAGGCGGCCGAACTGATAAGCCATGGAGGAGGCAGCGCAAAGCTTACTTGGGCCACCATCGACAGAGGAGTGGAGGATGGGAGTTTAGACCAGGTAAAGCAGCATCAGATGCGTCTGCAAAGGAGGAAAAGGAAGGAAAGGGACGTTACTGCATCAGGGACCCCGGGGGTGAAGAGGATCATCACTGATGTACTTGCGGCATTAGGTTATGGCCAGGATGCCGAGGCGCAGAGAAAGGCGGTAGCCGTGGTCCAAGGCCGAGGGAAAAAGGTGGGGGATGAAGGCGCCGGGCAAGAGGATTACGGTGGGGAGGAAACGGGGTCACAAATCCTTACCAAGGCCCAGCGGAAGCAACGCAATCTGTTGCAGGGTGGCCAAGGGTCTGGCAAAGGACAGGCCCCCCAGGCAATCGCTGCACCACCAGTAGCCGCCGTAACCCCGCCCATATCGACAGGGACGACGCTAATGGGGCCACCCCCGGCCTGCGGACATTGGGTACCACATTGTCAAGCAGCACCCTGGCCCAGCTGTAGTCATTGTACCTTGTGTAGAGGGGGCCAAACACATACCAGAGAGATGGTTCCATTCTCAGGTCCATCGACGAGCGCAGGGCCGCCGAGTTTCCCGGCGACGCAAGGCCAATTCACGGCCCAGCCTCCCCCCTCACAGCAAGCGTCGCAGTCTAGTGTGGCAGAAGGAGGAGGCCAAGGGCAAGGAGGATAGGGCAATGGTGGTCGGGGACAAGGAGGCCGAGGGGGTGGCGGACGAGGCCGAAATGGAGGAGGACGTGGCGGCAGATGGAACAACCAAGGGGGTCAGGGCCAAGGAGACCAAGGTAGTCAGCAAGGAGGCCAAGGGTATGGGAGACCCCGCTTCGACTGGCGGAACGCAACCTGCTGGCATGTGGTATTGTAGGCCACACGATTCGGTTCTGCCAGCAACGGCGGGATGATGAGCTTGCGGGCCTGATTTCCTCTTGTATGGATGGGGATATATACGACAAGTGGGGGGAGCACATTGACCCCAGGACCCCGGGAGGGATCAGGCAGGAAGCCCTCAGGTGGGCGGCAGCAGGACCATCGACCGCCCCGGCCATGTTTAGACTGTGACAGGAGAGAGAAGACCCGACCATAAGGATCGAAGAGATCACGGGGGATAGTCAGGAGGTTACGCAACGATTAACGGTCGGGGCCATAAAGGAAGAACCGATAATTGTTGAGTCGGACGGTGAGGAGAGAGAGGATGAAGGGGAGCCGGTCGTAACCACCCTGGAAGAGATGGAGGATTTAATGGAAAAAATAGGGAGATACCAGCGGAAGCTGAAAGAGTTATGTGATGAAGTCCAAGGGTGGAGAGCCGACCTCCCAAAGGTCTTCCTCTATGAGACCGGGCCGGGGCCGGCAGCTGGACAGCAGAGTAGCCCCGAGGTTGCCGTGACGGGGTCTGGCCCCAGGTCAGGAATGATGTTCAGGCCGCCCACTCCGCACGGGCGGGCGCCGCAAGCAACTCAAACCAGGAGCCAAGGTGGGTCCTAGTCAGCCACCAAGCCAAGCGCCAAGTCAGGCACCCCCACGGAAGAGACCTGAGCCTGAGCGTAGAAAGGAGGTGGTTGAGGTCCAGGAGGAAGAGGAAGAGGATGACGACACGGAGGATGAGAGACTCCGTCAAGAGGAGGATCGGCGGGCGGAGCAGAGAGCGCAGAGAAAAGAGGCGCAGGAGAGAGCCGAGCCATGTCTACGGGATGGTGTGCCCAGGAAAAGAAAGTACACCGTCAGGTTGGAGGAGGACTTTGAGGTGGAAAGGATGGTGGACAGGCTCCTTGAAGGTCATAACGACCTTATGAACTTAAAGGATATTCTGGCATCCGCACCAAGACTCCGGGAAGAGTTGAAAGGGCGATTGTCTTGAAGGTTGGTGCCCAACGTGCATTTGAGCGCCGTCCTGCCCAGGGAAGTGGGATGGACACAAGCTGGAACGAGGATGGACTGGAAGTGCGCGGCATGCGGACTGGTGGACTTGGTAATAAAAGAGAAAAAGTGCGTGGCGATGATGGATACGGGCGCYGAAATGAATATCATTAGGGAAARRGATGCGCTCATGCTCGGGATGRAGATCGAYCGTGCAGATCACGGTSTGYTGCACGRGGCTAATTGCAAAGCAGTTTTTTGCGGCACAGCGTCGAATGTGATCATAGAAATTGGCAAGGTGCGAGCAAGGACGTGCTTTTTCGTCATGCCAGATGTGGACCATCCTATCCTTCTGGGCAGATTGTTCATGTGCAGGACAGAGACCCTGATCTTCAACAAGCACGACAGAACGATGATATTGCACCTGAGTGATCCAGGTTGTGGGAACTACGAAGTTGTCAACTGCCGGAACACGGGGCCAGGGAGCGAACGGAATAGGCCTAACCCTGACTAGTTCACCTATGTGGTATCGGAGAACGAGCGGCAGAGGGTCGCGGAGGAGTCCGAGGAGGAAGGTGGGGCGGAAGTGCTGTCACTAAGCCTTACGAATGTAAGTAAGGCTATGGAGATCGTGGCGGCACATGAGATGGCGGACCCGGAGGCCATCAAGGCATTGAGAGAGCATGTTTTTGGAGAGCCCACAGGCAGGAGAGGCGGAACTCATCTATCGACTTCCTTGAGGAAGAAAAGGGTCTGCAATGAAACAGGCGCAGACGACAAGCTGGCCTTTTTTAGGGGACGCCTTAAGCAGGGCGCCCAAAGGCGATACAAAATGGTAGATAAGAAGTGTCGTCCTGTTCCCGTGCTCGTTACGGAAGATGAGGAGGCTTATTACGAGCGGGAGCGAGGATTGATACGGCGGATGCAAGAGCAGGCATTGAAGGATCCATGCCGTATCAATGATGGAAATGAAGGAAAGCTAATAGTCGGGGAGCCAGGCTTTCTTTCACCCCAGGAACGGGCGCTGATGGTGCAGCTGATGAAGAAGAGACATCGCGCATACGCCTTTAATGATGACCAGCGCGGGAGGCTGGATGTGGACAAGATCCCGATGATCCGGATCCACACCGTCCCTCACGAGCCTTAGAATCTAAGGGGTGCGCGATACCCATACCCCGATGAGGAGAAGATGGTAGTGGATTATCTGGATGGCAAGATGCGCACGCATGTCGCCGGCTACTCTAGTGGTCCGTATGCTTCCCCTTGGTTCTGCTTTATTAAGCCGAACTGGACGCTACGGTGGGTGCAGGATCTGCAGCGGCTAAATGCAGTAACGGTGCGAGATGCGGGAGGCTTGCCGAACGCAGATGCACTATCAGAATCATGCGCGGGGAGGCCTATAATATCACTTATAGACCTCTACTCCGGATATGATCAGTTTTCAGTGTACCCGCTCGATAGGCCGGTGACGGTGATGCACACGCCAAGGGGGCTAATCCACATGAATGTGGCTCCTCAAGGTTGGACAAATGCAGTGGCGATGGTACAAAGACATATGATCAGGGTCATGTAAACAGTCTGCCCGCACATCACCCAGCCCTACATCGACGACTTGGCGGTTAAAGAGCCAAAGGAGAGAGAGGAGGACGAGGTGCAGCCCGGAGTAAGACGCTTTGTTTGGAGGCACATCCAGGATTTTGATCGAGTCTTGGGTCTGCTAGAGGAGCACAACCTCACTGCAAGCAGGCCAAAATCCAAGCACTGTATGAGAGAAGCTACCATCCTGGGGTTTGTCTGCAATGAGGAGGGCCGGAAGCCAGATGTGAAAAAGACAGATAAAATCTTAGAGTGGCCGGTGCCTTTCTAGACCATAACGGACGTGAGAAGCTTTCTTGGCACCTGTGGATTTTGGAGGAGCTTCGTGAAAGACTTCGCCGCCAAGACTGAGCATCTAAGGAAGCTGGTGCACCAGGACCAGGAGTGGGTTTAGGGCGAAGACCAGGAAGAAGCGGTAACCAGGATGAAGGGAGAGTTCAAGGAAGGAGGGTTGGTGCTAGGGGCGCCAAATTATGAAGGGACTGAAGAAAAGTCATTCATCATTGAGACAGACGCTGGGCCAACTGCATTGGGAGGGGTTTTGATCCAAACAGATATTGAAGGAAAGGAGAGGCCGCTAAGATTCGAAAGTCGTACTCTTAACACGATTGAGAGGAACTACTCTCAGTTTAAGAAGGAGACACTTGCGGTACTCCATTGTCTAAGGGTCTTCCGGAATTATGTCTTCGGCAGGAGATTTATATTGAGGGTGGACCCTACGGCGTTGGCCTGCTCTTTGAAGAATTATACACCATCCGAACCAACCGTCGCTCGATGGTTGACGTACATTTGGATGTTTAATTTTGAGCTGGAAAGGATCCCGGGAAATAAGAATAGGGTTGATGGTCTGAGTAGTGTCAATTGGGACAGTGCGGATCACGTGTCGACCGAAGACACCCCACCGGTCGACGGGTTCCTGGATCAAGAAGAAGATGTGCGACTCCATATAAACAAGTGGGCGCTGCGAGTACCCAGTTGTGTTAGCTATCCCATATGGATAGCACCAAGAGGATATGAGCGGAAGGCCGACTTAGTCCTTAAGCCATTTGAGGAAGAAGATCCGTGGGGAGGCAATGACACTTAGTGGATGATGAAGTTGGCACTGGCAGGGACACATGGCTTGGTGGAAGAAGTGAGGACAATAGACGAAGGGCCTACTCAGGTAGAGGAGCATGAGCAGTTAATGGGAGGGATGTATCTGCTCACTAATACACTCCTGCAAGGGGACTTCAATCAGAGAGGCTCGTTTAGTCATGAGGAGAATGAAATCCTGATTCCTGAAAGCCAGGACGATGAGTTTGAGGAGGGAGAGATTAAGGAGGCGTTCCGAATCCGGGCGGAGGAATACAATGGGATCTATCTTGAGCTGAGCCTACTTCTATCCTGTGAGATGAGGGACAGGGATGCTAGCGATAAGGCGCAGAAGCCGAGGCACCTCTACGTGGTGAGAGATGGACATTTGTTCATAAAGCGGCAAGTTGGGAATCCCAAACGGATTGTGTGCGGGAGGAACCGACAGTTGGACATCATAGCGGCATTACACATGCGCAAAGATAAGCGAGCTCTACCATTGGGATGGAATGTTGACAATGGTCATCAAGTACTGTCGATCCTGTGTACCTTGCCAGGAAAGGTCGGCGCAAAGGTCGGGGGAGCCCCTGCACCCAAGGTTGGAAAGGGAAGTGGGTGCGGTTGTACACCTGGACCTGCTGTTTATGCCAATGGGGGGAAATGGGTGCAACTACATCTTCGATGCACGCGACAATCTCACCGGGTTTGTAGACGGGCGAGCTATCCGGACGAAGACTGACCCAGTGTTGACAAATTGCATCGAGGAGTATTACCTGCGCTATCCTTTCGTCAAGGAGTTCGTGATGGACTGGGGGTCGGAGTTTACCTGCAATGAGGTGCGGACTTTGCTTGCAGGGTATGGGGTAGTGGCCAACTACACTACAGTCGCGCACCCTCAAGAAAACGCTCCTGTGGAAAGGGGGCACAATACCATCACGAATCTCTTGGCTAAGTGGATGGAGGGCAAGCCTGGTCAGTGGCCGAAATTCCTACGAGTGGCTTTTTTTGTGGAGAATATTACGGTGAAGAGGACTACCAAGTATGCGCCAGCCACGCTATGCTACGGAAGGCACGCCACCTTCCCTATAGAAAGCTTTAAGAAAACATGGAGGCGCCAGAACTTGGAAGTAAACCTGTCCTTTGAGGAACTGCTCGATATCCGGGCACGGCAAGTGGGAGCGGCCGAGGAAAGATTGCAAGAGGCCGCTGGTCAGGTAGAGAGAAGCCGCATGGAGGATAAGATGAGATGGGACCAAATGGCCCGGGTACGGAAAGAGCCCTTGGTAGTGGGAGATAGTGTGCTATTATACGACTCATCCCTGGAAAAGCAGTGGTCACGAAAACTTGACAAAAGATGGTTGGGGCCTTACAGGATTGTGCGATGCGGCGAGTTTGGGGCGTACCAGATCGAAGAGCTAAACGGCACGGAATGGAAAGATTGGGTATCTGGGACAAGGCTAAAGAAGTTTGTGGCCAGGGAATAGGTAAAGCCGCAACCCCTCCCAGTAACTGTGATCCCTCCCAGAATAAACCCTCGTCCTAAGTGTTGCATGCCATGATTGAAAAGCAAAGAAAGGCCTGATGTGTCTGAGATTGGGTGTATGTTTGCTCTGGAGACTGCTGAACCCATATGCTGATCCTGTCGTGTGCCTGTTTGTTTCGTTTCGCCTGATGTGCAGGCCTGACTTTTTATAAGGCAGTCATGGAGAAGGGCGGGCGGGGCACGCGGCCACGACAGAGACCTCTCGGGGCATCCGGAGGGGGGGAGCAGCGTGGGCCCTTCAGGAGAGAGCTTACACCCGTGTTTGATGACGACAACATCGAGCTTTTCCTGGACGCCTACCGAGAGCATGCAACCCGGAGAGGATGGGACGTGTCTGAGAGGGTACGTCACTTGAGGGGAGTTGGGAGGTTCGAGGAGCCCATTGCACAGATCAGAAAGGAGGCCCTGACATGGTCGGAGGTAGAGGCAAGGATGCAGAGATTGAGAGCTTCACCTTTAGGGAATGATGGGCCACCTATTCGTTTGGAGGAAGCGAACGCGGAGGAGTTCATCCCAGCATACGAACGGTATATGAGCGATCAAGGAGTTACGAGGGATGAGTGGGTACAGGCGCTGCTCCTTTGGACCAGAGAGGCGGAGCGTCCACTAGCAAGACAGATCCAGAGGCGGGCACAAGATTGGGAGGACTGTCGGGCTCAGCTGAGGGTGGCGTTTCGGCGACCGGAACCACCGAGGCCAGAACCAAGGGTTGATAGAAGGCGGTGAAGTAAGAGGCTAAGGGATTTGGAGGCAAGGGAGCCGGTGACGTCGAGAGGTGGTCGAAAGACCCTGGCACAGCGGGAGGGAGGACAAACAGGGCCAACTAGGGCAAGGGAGTCCTTCCCTGCTTGTGGCCTCAGGCAGGTGGAGCTCCGTCAAGTTACAGAGGATGACCTACTCAGGCCCTCGCCACAGGCACCAGAGCAGAGGGAGAGCGAGATACCAGTAGCGCCTTTCAGGAGTCTGGAGGCCCACTTGGACGCGTCCCAGTGGAAGGTCCCTTCAACAGGAGAGGGCCCTACGGACCCATCAGGAGGGGAGCAGACTCGCCTAGAGCCTGAGGCGGAGCCACTCAGATTGAAGGGGGTAGGTGCAGAAGATGTCATTATGGTGGAAGGTGATACTCCCTCTGACTCCCCAGCTCGAGCTTAGACACGGCAGTCCTGGCCAGAGGGTGTCGCGGAGCCAGACAGCCAGGAAGCCCCAGTACCACCACCAGAGGCCACTATGCCACCCAGGCAGGAGGTTGAGGCGAGAGGGTCAGTGGAGGGGTGGAGGATGGAGCCCCGCCTGGTTGTCGACTCACGTTTAGCCGCGCACGCAGCCGAGCACCCTGACATTGAGGAGCCCAGCTTGGCTGGACCATCATCAAGGCCAGCATGTACTGAGCTAGGAGAGGGCTCGCAGGCTGCGACTGGGGGAGTCGCGGAGGTAGGTGCAGGAAAGGAGCCAGACAAACCCGCCCAAGCAAAGCGTGCTAGGGTACGAGCTCGCCTTGAGGAGATACATGAGCGCAGGGACAGGATGGAGGCTGCAGGGATATCACCAAGGCCACCATTCGCCCCAAAGACAAGTGAAGAAAGGATTGACGAGTTGTGAGCCGGATATGAGGGGCAGAGAGAGGCAACTCGCCAGTGGGCACGTGAGACGGGCCAGGCGATTGAGGGTGCAGACGAGGCGATAGAGGTTGGGGAGCTGGGTTTTGCCGCCACAAGAAGGGCTACCGAGTGGGTAGACAAGGAGATAAAGCAGACATCCATCGAGACCTTTCAAAGGTACTCCCTGCTTAGTGACGAATTGGCCCTCAGGAAAGACGAGGTGGAACAATTGACTGCCCAACTCACGGAGGAGAGAGCCGAGAACAAGGCCAGGCAGGCTCGCCTGGAGGCAAAGGAGGCTGAGTGGGAGGCAAAACTCAAGGAAATGGCGGCCGCAGTAGAAAAGCTTACCGCCACCAAGGTAATCGACTGGGCTGAGCAGAGCAGGTATGACATCCAAGGCAAGGAGGTGCAAGGGTTGTTTGGCCAAGAGGAGGCAGCAGAGGCATCTCGACAGGAGAAGTTGGGGAAGGTATTTCTAAACCCAGCTGAGGCCTAGGCAAGGAAGGAAGCCAACAAGGAAAGCTTTGAGTTCAAGGCTCCTACTAAGCTGGCTTCACAGCAGGAGGCCGCTACTTCGGCAAATGCTCCTAAGGAGGTGCTGACCCAAGAACCCCAACCTGCATCAGTAGGAGAGGGGGAGGCAGAGGAGTCACTGACAATCCTTCTGGATGTACAAGAGGGGACACTCACTGGAGCGGTGGGGTCCCCACAGCCGGAGGCACAAGGGGAGGAGCCATCACGCTTGGACGAGTTGGTTGCTGCCATGGAAGTGGATAAGCCGCCAGAGAGGCCTCAGGGGCTGGAGGCCCCAGAGCACAAGCCAAAGTTGGAAGAGTTGAGGGTACAGCTGGGCTCGTGGGCCACTAGGACCGATTCGGGAGGACCGACTACTGAGCAGCGGCAGCAGGAGGCCATGAGACAGCCTACTAGAGCCACTACTCCCCAGGCTCTGGGGCCCAGAGAGGGGGAGGAGGAAGCCATATTGGAGGTAACCCGCGAGGGCCGGCCACTGAGATTGGATACCCCTGAGTACCAACCCGAGAGAGAGATGCAGCAGGGGGAGTCAAGTGCCTAAGGAATCGAAGGGGGAGCTGAAGGACCGTGGCACCTACCCCAGAGTCATGGACTGAGTAAGGAGAAGGAAGAGGCGCCTCCGTCGTCAGGGACCCATAAAAAGAAGAAGAGATTTTTAAGGAAATCTGGGGCTATGTGTTTCTATTTTCTGGATGGAGTGCATAGGGCCCTGGACTGTCCTAAATTCCTTAAGGACAAGGCTGAGGGGCGGGTTACTGAAGAAGGTGGCAACATGTATGATAGACAGGGCCGAGTAGTAGAGAGAGCTCCGAACGGGGATCGAGCCCAGTTGTATAGGCAAAACCAGGAGGAGATGAGCGAGTAAGGGGCTAGTTCGCCTATACGCTAGTAGAAGCGAGGTGTTTTTCTGTACATAGGAAGAGTGAGTCAAGGGCATAGGGTGTCGCGAGTCAGATACATGTATCTTAGGGTGTTGTATGCGACAAAAGACCAATGTACAATAAGGTTTTGAGGTTCTTTTCGTATCTTGATCCAAGGACCGAGACTCAGTTGTGTGATAACTTAGGACACCCAATTGCATTGCGTTTTGTTTTGAGATCAGAGTCTACCTATGAGTGGTGTGAGAGTAAGCAACATTTAGGGTATGAGCCCATTGGATATGAGAGGGGGCAGGACATTTGAGAGTTGATGTTGAGATTTAAGAGACATTCTATTGTTGAGTACATAACTGAGCGAGGTCTTGAGACTACTCCCCTGTGTATGACGATCACTCTCACTCTCACATGTGTGGCTTTCCGATGTATGATGATTTGTATGAGATTTGTGTGACAAACAACTCATATGTTTATGCCTTGTGAGTGAATGTAAACTGTTTACTCTTCGGTATACCCGTGCGACCTGCCCATGGGCAGATGCTAGAGCCACATATAAGGAGAGGGAGTACAGTCTGTCTTGTGAAAGAGAATTGTAAGAATCCTAAGGGGTCTATGAGTCCTTGGGACTCGAAAGCTTATCAAACCAAATGTTTACGCATTTAAAATTGTGTTGGAGACCCATAAAGTTGACCTCCTGTTCTATTTTGTTGTTATGGTTGAGTTGTACCTTACGTTATTCGGAAGACCTATTTTTCATGAAAGGGATATGTTTTGTACAGGTCATGTAAGAACCCATCCTCAGGAAGAGAGGGATGGCTGACAGACCTATTGAGTGAGACCTCCCCCATAGGGAGGATGACTAATAGATCTGATGGCATGAGAAGCTGGGTTGGTAAGATGAAAGACTGACGAAAGGAACCAGGTTTTACTAGCCACTCGGTGAAAATTCTTGAGAATGTCGCAAAAAAATGTTTGCTTTTGAGGAGTGTCCCTGAGATGTGTGACCCTCTTACCCTGATCAAGTTAGGGAGTCACGGCCCGATGGATCTGGCGGTGCCTTATGGTTGTGAATGTGGAGAGGTTGTCATGTCCTCGCTGTGTTATCCCACAGAGAGCTGGTAAATGCCTGTCATGTGTGACAAGCCTATGCGCAGTCCCGCAGTAGGCCTGTATTTGTTGCGACGCACCGTCCGGCCACGCGTGCTAACCTCAAGGCACATAAGGAAGACCAAGCTAAACGGTAAAGTTTTAGCACCGCTAGGGCGTAACCCCTAGGGATGGCCACGGACCGGCACAACCTGGCCGCGGGCCCACGTCTGACCACGGGAGTTAAGGCTTAAAGGGTGTGGCCGCCCGAAAAAGTTTTACCCCTGTGGAATGACCTGGGATAGGAGTCGAGTCATATGAGTCTTTTTGGGAAGTCCTGATTGGGTACTTATCAGGAGAAACCCTATCGTGGCGCAACCTGCGAGGGCACTACCACTAGAATAATAACGCGGTGGGCCGTAGATCTGGCCTGATCAACCAGACTATGGTGGGCCAAGATGGAGACCTAGCTTTTCCGTACTAGACTGCGGAAGTCGCTGAGAGAGAGTCAAGGACGCACATAACTATGTGTCTAAATTGTGAGGGGTTTCTTGAGAGAGAGGCAAAAAGCCTTCAAAGGTTTCGGTTAGGGCCCGCGTCCCCAGTTATGACCCTGCTTACCGGGAAAGGGTCGGGGACACCCAACGAGAGGCCGACGCTTGTCTAGGACAAAGGGGCGAGGGTGGGTATGAGGGTCTTTTTGAACTTATGATGTAGTACTGATGTGTAGTACACCAGCGTCCTAGTGCCAGGACAATGGAGACCCAGGTTGAAACCCTGGCAGCATAAAGTTGTGTGGGCATGGACCGCTGGAGGCCTCGAACCCGAGTCTGTCGGCTGATCGGATTGGTTCCTTCTCGTCAGCATTTTGATATGTGGATGGGTTGATAGCTTTTTGATCTTGCGAAACGACGGGGACGTCGCTTAATATAGTCTGGTAGGCTGTCGGCGCGAATACCCTGGCAGGGGTATTCGCCTTGGGTTTTTGCAAGTGACAGCGGGGCCGACGGTCCAGGCCTGTGTATTCAAACGGCTACCTGTGTATGGACCAAGGTTGTCTAAGTAGGTAGGGTGAGTGGGCGCGCAGTTTCAAGGCGCGCGTGTGATTTTGCCCTTTTTTATCGTGCCGCCGACGCAGGCATCCGGCTTGACGTCGCACTCTTAATTAGACCAAGGATTAATGGGCTGGCCTCGCTTACTATGCCTGACCGGCGGCAGGGCGGATAGGTAGGATGGTACGTAGGGCGGCCGTGGCACAGTCAGGGAGGCCGGCGTGATTGTTTGGTAGCCCCGCGCCTGGCCACAGGTGGGGGCAGGGCCTGCGATATCCTCCTCGGCTCTAAGTATTGTACTGCCTCACTTCAGTACCACTTCATATGGGGTCCACCGCCTGCTAATCCCAGGCTGGGGCTTAGCCCTATAGGTTGCGGTGACGGGTTACTGCGATAAAGGTCCTAGGATCAAGGCCAGCAGGCGGCAGTGCGGGAGCAGCGGGGCAGCGGAGCAGCGACGAGAAAGCTGAAGGGTTGAGGGTCCGTCCGGCTATCCCCCTCAAAGCTTTTGCTGATGGGGGCGAAGGCGGGCCCGGCCTACGAGAGGACCCAACGCAATAGGTTTGCATGTTTTTATTATTTTTGAGGTAATTCTTATTCTATTTTTATTTTATTTTTACTTTTTTTTGGATTTTATTCGTTTTGTTGTTACCCCCCTTTTGGCTTGACAGGCGGGCCGCGGTCGGATCAGGCGGTGGTGAGGTGTGCAGTGACCCTCCGCCTACGGTAAGCCGCGGGGTGTTGCGGGGTGTGTCCTTCGGGGCATCCGTAAAAATTGGAACGATACAGAGAAGATTAGCATGGCCCCGCCCGAGGTTAAGGTGTATAAAGTTGGGGCAGCCATTCCATTTCTTTTTTGGTTTTGCCTTACCTGATCTTCGTCCTGCGGTGTGTTCCGTGCGCGGCCCGATCGGAAATACGCTACGCTGTCGTGGTGCGCTAATGCACGGGTTGACGACGAGCGGGGGAGAGGAAGAGGGCAGCGCTAGTGCGGGAAGGGACAGGAGGTCGTGACTGCAGAGGAGAAGGAGAAGCGAGGACGGTGGGATGGTTAGACGTGGGAGTGAATGTGGACAGGCGGAGCAGACATCACGAAGACAAGGACGCTAACACTACTGGGGGGGGGTGAACCTGGGCGTTATACTGGACTAGGTGCATACGGAGTGGAAGAACGGGCATGGCGGACGGAGAGTGAAAGATCTCACTCGATTCCTAGTAGAATCGAGTGGAACAAAGTAGTAGGTGTGGGTTTTAGCCTAGAGCGGAGGTGATGGCGATGTTAGTTTTAGGAGAAGAAGTGTAGAAAGAAGGTTTAGTAGGAAAAGACGTGCGCGGGCTATGGCGGGCGGATGAGTGACGGGAGCAGAAGATCTGTATCTCACTCAATCCTCGATGGATTTGAGTGAGGTAAAGCGTAAAATAAGGGTTTTCTGAGGCCGCGAGTTGAATGGCGCGGTCAAAACTAGCGGTGGGACAGTGAATGGGGTGGCATGCGAGAAATGGGTTGCGCGAGCTATGGTGACGAGGGTGGAGGGTTGAGGGAGCCTTCGACTCTAGATAGAATCGTGCGGGGGAAGATGGGATTTCGGGGTTATCAGATAAGGCGAGTGTAGTAGTAGTAGTAGTTTTATTAGTCGGGCAGTAGGAGGTAAGGTAGATGGAAAACGGAGTGCGTCGCGGTGCAAAGTAGCCAAGGTAGCGACGAACCTTCCCGTTTTCTGTGGAAGATTCGTTTTCTTCTCTCGTATGGGGAAGGCTACGTAGTAGAACCCGTAAAGTCCGACGAAGTCTCTATAACGGTGGTTTTTGTGCTCGCCTCCATTTTTTTTTACCCCTCAGAGTGCTTGTTGGTATCGGCTGCTTCCCCTCTCTCGTCTGTTTCTGCCGATTGAATTGGACCGATATTGCGGCCAGGTGCATCCGCGCATTCAAGTGCAACTACAGGCTTGTGCGCGTGCGTGAGGGAGTAGACCGGGAGGAAAGGAAGCGGCTAGAGCAGCGAAGAGAACAGAGTAG